TAGATAATTTCATCTCATTTATGAATGTTGGAAAAATATAATTAGATAAATTGTTTTTCCATCAAGTATTATTCGGAATCTCTTTTACACTAAGTATTATTTTGAAAATTGTTTAATGATACATTTTGTAAAAAATATATTTATTTTTGAAAAAATTATCTTAAAATTTTGTTTTTGTTCTAGTCACAAACACCATCACAAARTAAATATATATAATTTGTATTTGACTTTAATTATATTATTTACATTAGGTATTTTGTAATTTTAGACAAAATCAAGTGTTATTGTTATTGTTACTGATTTGTATATTTTATTAATAATATATTCATATTCATTATGGTGGCAAAATGCGTTGTTAATACTTAAATATTTGGTTTAACCAATTCCTATTTAAGATGATCAAATATTACTTGTTGGTTCAATTATAAATTTTAATTCATTWCATAAAATCCTAGTAATTTGATTATTGATATGATTATTCATCTTTTAATATAATGAGAATTCAGAACTGTTGTAAATAGTTATATAAACATAATACTTAATGTAATACTTACAATTTATAGAAATGAAAAGGCTTATATATTCATAAGTTCTTGACATTACGTGTCTTGTTGCTATTTAAGGATCAAGATTATTCTGTATTCCAAGAATAACTGCACTTTAAATATTTTTATAATTTTGTTAGAATTGTTTTTCCTTTGGATCACTTGTATAGAAGGATTATATAATAATGTAGCATATTATTAGTCATTAATTATTAATATTTAATAGTTAATTGTAAGTTGTGGTTTGAAAAAGTCAACTATTAAACTATTAATACAGTTCTTGTTGAAGAGTAAGAGTATGATTTTTTTTTAAATCAAAGAACAGTATTATTTTGCAATATAAATTACAAATTGAATATTACAAGTAATAACAGCCACCGTCCTTTACCATAGTGTAAAAAGTGGATTCTACCTAAAAGTATGGTTTATTATATTTATTTATTACTATACATTTCTCAGCTTAAATCAATATCATAGATGCAATAAAAATAAAAATATGATATTATAATATTTTTTGTCAATATAATTATGAATTAAATGYCATTGTTTTGTATTAAGTCCAATATACATTGTAAAMAAGTTGAAATATAATTTGTTAAATTTAAAAGTGAAATTTTTTATCATACACTATATTTTTCACTCCCAGATCCTAATAACCATAATCC